AGGCAGGGGGGTGGCTCTGTGTCGGACCCCCGCCGCTGTCTGCAGAGCCCCCCTGGGCTGAGTGCAGGTGCTGAAGCACCCCCGGGGTGGGCAGCTCTGGGCGTGGGCAGGGCTTCTGCCCAAAACATCCCCTGGGCTCATTTCTGGGGCTGAGCGTGGAGGAACCTCGTACTTCCTGTGCTGTTTATAGCCGCCGTTTCTGGCCGTTTCTTGCCCCTTCGGGCCCGGCTGCCACCTCCTTGCCCGGCCAGCGAGCCCCGGGATGGCCCTCACCTGCCCCAGCCCTGCATGACCCCAGGGAGCAGAGCCCTGGCACAGCTCAGCGCCCGCCGGGCAATGGGTCACATCCTGCACCCAGCCCAGGAGACGGGGCACAGCCCCAACGCCCTCCTGCCTCCGCTCCCCCGGTTAACACCCTCCCCCAGAAATCCCCGCAGCCGTTTCATTAATTCTGTTTATTTCTTTCTTTTTTTTTTTTGGTTTTTTTGTGGGTTTTTTTGAAGTACCGTACAAAAAAAAAAATCCTCTTACAGTAACAAATACTGGGTTTACATTAGTAAACATCAACAGAAAGAGCATAGAGAACTACTGCTGGTAACGAACAGCTGAAGTGGCAAATTATTTATTATTGCATATACCTAGGAACTAAAATCTCAGGAGCGCTCACGCAGCCGCCACGTCCTCACCTGGCTGGTGACACAAGCCCCCTCGGGGGGGGGTCACAAGGGAGAGGATGGAGCGTCCCGAGCTGGGACAGGGAGGGACCAGACCCGAGCTGTGCCCCAGGGAGCAGGAACAGCCACGTTGCACCCACGGGACGCGGGTGCCTGGCTGGGTTGAGGGACACGGCGGGGGGGAAGGGGGGTGACAGCAAAGCAGAGCCCAGGGCTTCAAAACACAGCGCTACTGGGTTCACCCGGCAGCGCAAACAGCACAAGCAAAGGCATCAAAGGACAAATCACAACTAGCTTATCCTGGGGGAGCTGCGCTGCAGGCGGGGAGCTGGGCTTGGGCTTCCACCCCAGGGGGAGAGGAGGGAAAAGCTGCGTTTCAAGGAGCCAAGTCAAGCACTGTCAGGGAAAGGCAGCCCTGGGAAAGGGCATTTTCCTCCTCGTTGTACACAGGATTTGTGAGCAGAGCCCCGCTGGGGACGGGCCATGGTGATGGGCGCCAGCGGGCAGGAATGGCCGTGCTGGAAGATGTGGAGGGGTGACCGTGGCCCCCTGTGCTCACACTGAACCACCCACGCTCCTGGGGAGGACGAGGCTCCAGCTGGGCGGCGGGAAGGGATGGTGTGGGGTGAATGGGGGAGATTCAGCCAAAAGGGTACAAAACACTGTCATAAGAAGCTGGAATTTCCCCAGGCAGCAGAGCCGGGGCGAGCACCAAGCGAAGTGTCGACAGGAGAGGCCTTGAAGCTGAGAGACTCCCAGCAGCTCGGTGGGCCCTGGCACGAGCCGGGAGCCAGCCCCCCCCCCGTGGGCGGCTGGAGCCTCCCATCCACCTGCAGCCTGCCCCGTGGTGCAGGGATGTGCTGGAAGCACAGGACTGGGGCAGGACCAGCACGGAGTCCCCAGGCTGAAAATGTGCTGCCACAACCGGTGCGTGAGCCTGGCAGAAAGCTTTGAGGCGTTGGCACAGCCCCCCCGGGCCACCCCACAAACCCCAGGAGGCCTCTGCACAGAGGGCTGTGAGCACCATCCCTCCCTGCCCCATTCCCACGTGCTCTCATCTCTCACGTGTCTGAGCCCAAACTATTCCCTTAATTATACCTGACAGCTTTTCCCAAGTGATCTCCAAAGCCAAAGACAGCTCCCCTGACCCATCGCCTGCCCCTTCCGTGGCACTTCGGCACCCAGGCGCATGCCTGAGCTGCGATGAGCATCCTCGGAGCACCAAACACCGACAAACCAGAACCAAAAAAGCATGGCCCAGGGCCCGGAGAAGGCATGCAGAGCAGGGAATGGGGTCTGTACAGTCGAGCATAGGAGAGCTGCCACAAGCAATGGGAATGGGATGTTTGCTCCAGCAATCCCAGATCCAAAAGGATCTGGGGACCAGCCCAGAGCAAGGGGAGCAGCAGAGCTGGCCAAGGGAGGAGGGACAGCGCAGTCCCCGACGCAGACGGCATGTTGAGGACAGGATGCAAGCAGAGCATGAGCACCCTGCAGATCTGGCACAGCCCGAGTCGCAACACAAAGCAGAAGCATCAAAACCTACAGCATCCACCAGCCTATCCTAAGGATGCAGCCTCCAAAAGGGAAAGGAGCCTCTCCAGCAACTCAAGAGGACAATTAATGCTTTCTTCAAGCCAGGCAGACAAGATAACCCTGTAAAGCAAATGCCACCATGGCCTTAACTTTTAAAGCTCTTCCAGGGCCACCTCCGTCGCCCTCGAGCCCTCTGAACTCAGCATTATCCAAAAAGACGCAACAAGCCCTGCCCGCGCCAGCCAGCTGCGGTGGGCAGCACTACAGCAACGCCCAGCTCTTTCACCCCAAGTCCCCATACAGTACTCATGATTATAAGTGCTTTGCATACATAGTTCGACATCATGCATATACATTTCTGTGTGCTAAGGCCCTTGGCCCAGCAGAGATACCATCCTCCTGCAGCAGAGAGGTCCTTCATTTTATGTAGGGCTCGTAGCGTGTGTTGGACTCTGGCCCCCTCCTGCTTCAGCTGGCAGGACCTGAGTCTGCAACAGCCTGGCCAGCTGCTGCCCACGCGCTTGCGTATCGTAGTGGGAGTTCAGCAAACACCAGTACCAGGTAAGCAGCTGATTAAGAAAAGAACCGTATTTACAGAGCTAGAGTTAGCTTCAATGGGTTACGTCTGCAGAGATCCACCGAAGACGGCCGGAAACAACGAGCTGTGCATCCCACAGATTCTGCCAGGAAAAACACGGGTACCAACACGGATTTCACAGCTTAGTTGGCACAACTAAGGCGAGAGATTCATCACTAACCGGATCCTCCCTCCCCAGACAGCAACACTCAAAGAGGTGGTTACGACACTAGGGAACAAATGGTGAAGTGGGGCACAGGACCGAGGGGAGACCTTGGCCAAGAAGCCCCACAGAGGATGGGGATTCTCTTTTAAATCCGTCTCTGCATGGAAGAGCAGCACCCCTCGTACCAGACACCACCACAGCCTGCAAGATCACCGAGGGAAGTGGGAGTGGAGGATGCACAGGCTCAGCCGCCCAGCAGAGCCTCCTCCTCTGGCATGCAGGCAGGGAGCCCCTCGCTCAGAGCAGCGCTCGTGACCGCTCGGCTGGGGCGGTGACCCGATGCTGTAGCACACAAAGGAATCGGGAATCTAGCTCTACAGTGATGTGTAGCGGGGTGACCTGCCAGCAAGAAAGGGATCTGATCTGCTTATCGGGGAAGGGGAGGGGGCTGTGCTCGCCCACAGCAATTCAATCACAACTGGATCCCACCTCCTAGAGCCTGGAGCCCACTGGGAGTCAACAGCTCAGGCTTTTCGTCCCGTCAGCCAACATGGGTTTCAGCTACAGACCAAAAGGGACACCAGGAACGGTCACAGACATCTCAGAGGCTCTGGAGGGGCAGGAGCACAGAGACTCAACTATACAGGATGCAAGAGTCCAGAGCCAGAAAGCAGCGCCCTGGGGAGAAGCTGAAGGCAGCTTTGTGTTGTGCATGGGCTGCTCATCTGGCTGGTGGCTGGGAAAGGACCGGGTGAGCCAGCGTGACATTCAGGGAGTCATTGTGCTGCACCAGGGACGTGTGCTTGTAGTGCAAGACCAGGTCCTTGAGGGAGGCATAGAGGTTGTAGGGTTCAGCGAACCCGTAGCCGGTCGCCGTTTTGTAGATCACGCAGTGCTTGGTGTCACCGTCCACCCTGCCAGGGAGACAAGGGAGCATGGGTCAGCGGCACGCCAGTGCCCCGCAGTGCGAGGGAGCCCTGCTGGGACAGGGACAGGGACAGCAGAGCACAAGTGGGCAGCACCGAAGCAGCCCAGAGATACATCTGGCCCTGGCAGGAGGAGCCGAGGCAGCCAGGAGACCTCGGGGAAGCCCAGCCTGCCAGCTAATGCCTCCACCAGCTTCCAGCATCTGGCGAGAGAAGGGCAGAGCAATGCGAGAGCACAGCCCACGCCAGCTCCAACCCACCATGTCTGCTTGGGGGTACTCACACCACGGAGCAGGCGTAGCATCCCTTCTGGCTGCTCTCGCGGATCAGGAAGGTGCCGTCCCGCTTGCCGCACAGCATCTCTTCTGCTTGCAAGCGGTTGATCTTCCCCACGTACCACGTCCGCTCCTCGTGGTGGGGCAGCTCCTCCTCGTCATCCATCATGGAGTACTGGCTGCAATTGAGCACAGGCAGGGTCAGACCCCCTCAGTTTGGGCACGTGTCCCCCACATCTCCTCTCTCACTGCTAACTGCCATCGCCCCTTCCAGCAAGGAAGGTGTCCTCAGCTCCCAGGCAGGGAAATGGGACTTGCCCGTGGGCCCGGAGCAAGCAGAACCGGCTGCGCAGCCTGCACTCCTGCAGCCCCCCACACCCCACAATACGCGGAGCAGGGACACTCACTCCTCCGTCTCGTTCTTGATGCCCAGCCACTCGTTGATTTTCTTCTGCCGGGCACCCTTCTGCGTCAGCCACCTGGGGAAGGAGAGGCAGAGCTCAGCGCAGGCAGCGTGCCCGGCCTGCGGCATCCGGGCCAGACACCACTTGCGGAGCCATCACCAGAGGGCAGCAGCCATCCCCTTTGAGGGACTGCTGTGCCCCCAGGCTGCAATGCTGAAGGGCTTGCTCCTGCACCTAGCAGCCTGTAAGCCCGGCCCAACAAGCCCCAAAGCCCTGCAGGAGCCAGCTGGATCGCTCCCGGGCTGGGCTGGAGGGGCAGCAGGGCCCCGTTCCCAGCCCTCCACGGGGGCAGGCACTACATACACCAAATACTGGTCCCGCAGTTTGCGCAGCTGCATGAGGTCTGGCTTGAGGCTGTTCATGCGCTTGTCGATCTCCCGGTTCTCCGAGGCTTGTTTTTTCAGGTCCTGCTCCAGCTTCATCTTGCTGTCGTGGATCTCCGTGATGCGAGACTTGAGCTTCTCTGAGTTCATGAGGATCCTGGGAGAAGGAGGGGGGGTTTAGGCTGTGAGCCACAGTGGGGGAGGCAGAGGAGGCAGCCTGCCAGCTCGAGCCCACAGCATGCTGCTGGAGAGACAAGGAACGTGCACGCCTCGGCTCTGCGCTGGGCCAGGATGATCCTTCCAGCCCCCAGAGCCCTTCCCCAGGCAGGGCAGGTCACCAGCGCTCCCCATCCTCACCGTTGCACCTCCTTCTCGTTGCCCTCCCGCCGGAAGCGCTCAATGTACTCCTTGCTGCACTTTTCCTGTGTCTGACACTGCTCCTCAAAGATCTTGATTGTCTCATTGAAGGCCTCGATTGCCGTCCTCTTCATCTGCAGCTCCTGAGGAGAAGGGCGGAGAGAGCTGAGGAAGGGGGAGCATTTGGGCAGGTTTCTGCCCATTTGCATTGCCTCTTTCCCCCTCCCCAACTACTGCAGCCAAAATGTCCCCCCTCCTCAAAGCACATTCTCTGGGGAGTCCCCTCAAGTCCAGGAGCAGACGAATGGGGCAGCGGGTGCCCGATGTCTGCTTTCCTCTCTGCACAGCAGCATGGCTGCCTGTGATCGGGGGACGTCAGGGCAGCCGAGGGGGAAGGCAGTGCCCGCATACCTGGGAAGTGCGTGTGTACTCCTCATACAGCAGGTCATACTCCCAGCTCTTGTCCTGGTACTGCTGGTGATAGACCTTCAGCTGCTCCCCAACAGCTTCCACGCTGTCCTCTTTCACCACTTGGTCCTGCCATATGCACAGCCTCAGTCAGGACCTGCTCCTGCAGCTTCCCCGGCAAGGCAGCTGGTCCCAAAATGCCCCCCCAGTTCCCCATCACCCCACAAAGCAAAGTACCAGCACAGGGGAAGGGGTAGGACACTGTCATCTACCAAAGGGCCAGGGACGGATGAACAAACGCCCAGGTCTCACCTGCTGGTACTTGGAGATGGGGTAGAGCAGCCTGGTGTCCAGCTTGGCGTTGTACTGGGCCAGCGACTCGTGCCGGTAATGGGTGATGAGCTCCACCACCGAGCCGAAAGTCAGGGGCTCTGAGAAGCCGTACTTCCCCTCCCGGTGAAAGATCTTGATCAGCTTGTTATTGCCTCCCTTCCTGCAGCAGGGAGGGGGGAGAGGGCACTTATCACCGCCCTGGCGCCCTACGCCAGCCTGACGTCTGGGCGTCCACTCCTGCTGACTGCTTCACCCCAGTGCAGCAGAGGCTCTTGGGGGACCCCAGCACCCTACCTGAGCGTAAGCGTGTACTCCCCCTGGATCTTGCTGGAGGCATCGCGCACCAAAAAGGTACCATCTGGCGTGTCCCGTAGCTTCTCGTTCACCTCCTCCCTGCAAGGAACATGATTGTCACAGCCTGTGAGGTGCAACCAGAGCTCCTCTAGATAACTTGAGGGGACAGGGCACCCAGGACGTGAGCTGCCAGCCCATCCCCTTACCGAGAAATGTCACCCCAGTACCACTCGGCGTCCTGCAAGGGCACGCTGTTCCCATTGGCCAAGCTGGCTGCACTGGGCTTTGGCTTAGGCGGTTTTGGAGGCAAGGCTGTAAGAGAAGGAGGGCTGAAGCAGCCCAAGTCCCAGCTCCCCATGGGTAATCCCCCAGAGTGCTGAGTCCCCCTCCTTGCAGTGACTGTCCTGGGAAGTCCTGCTTAGCTGCCACGCTGCCAGAAGCTGCTCCAGGCACACCTACAGCAGCAGATGGCCTCCAGGCACAGCTGGGCTACAGAAATGTCCTCAGCAACCTGCTCAGGGGGCAGAGACTCCACACCCACGGAGCACAAATGCCAGTGCCTCAAGGCCCCAAGGAAGGGGCATCTCAGTACCTGGAGGCAGCTGTTCCGGCTCCAACTCCTTCGTCTGCAGAAGCATCTCCAGAAACAGCACGGAGAAGTCAGGGCTCAGCTCTGGGCTGCAAGGAGAGAGGAGCCAAGATGAGCAGTTGTGGGGGAGAACTTGGCACTGCTCCCGTGTCCCCCAGGCAAAGGAGAAGCTGGGGTCAGCTGGTTCACCCCAGCGCACAGCCCAGATGCAGGCTGACAGAGAAGCAAGGGCTCTGCCCTGGCTTTGAGTCCCACCTCTGTGTGCTGCCAGCAAGGTAGGGGCTGCGGGCAGACCTGTTGTTACAGGCTGGACTCCTCGTCCTGGCAGGCACAGCGGCTGACGCTTGGTACACGGCTGGAACCCAAGAGCCTCACGTACCTGGCGCCAGGCAGCCGGAGGAGAAGGGGGCCGAAGATCTCTCCCATGGCCCGAGGGTGGAGGCTGTTGCTCTCGGCCTGCTGCGATACCTTCCCCAGATGCCGGAGCAGGAACTGCAGGGTGAGCGTGTTCTGGAGCGGGACCGCAGGCGACTCCAGGGCCAGCAGCAGCTGCTTCCGGCAATTCTCCGGCTGGGGGATCTCTGGGGAGAGAACAAGACACGATGGAAGGGCTGGGACAGCCGTCACCGCTCTCCATGCTCCGGCTGCATCCCAGCGTGGGAGCGCTGTCGGCAGCAAGGACTGTGTGCCAGACCCCATAGGGACAGGACTTATTTCAATACCCCAAAACTGAGTGTCCTGCCCAGCCACCCATTCCCAAAGGCGGCCAGGGGAAGCCCTTACCCTGCAGGACGCGAAGGATGTCTCCGTGCACGGACACTGGCACCACGGGGGAGGGCAGGTCCTGCAGGTAGCCTCGCAGTGCCTCACCCAGGGAGTGCACGTCGAAGGGCTCCAGGTCGCCCAGGGTCCAATCTGCCAGGGCACACATTTCCCATGGGTGGTGGGCACAGCACCGGGCACCCAGCCGGCAGCTCCGGTGCTGCCAGCACCCGTCCGAGACCACCACACACCACCTGGCCAGCTATCATGGGACACGGCAGCCCGGCACCACGAGGGAGCAGAGGCAGCCCATGGGCAGCCGAGCAGCCCACACGACAGAGAACACCTGGAAGTGCCCCCCTGCACCCCAGAAATAAGCTGGCTCTGGGAACCCAGGCAGGTTCCCCCCAGGAGGGGGTAGAGGTCATTTTGGGTGCCCACACCCTTTGCACTGAGCCTTGCTGCAGGAATCCTGGGCACACATGACTCGTGTGACGATTTTGTTCCCCGCTGCTGGTAGAGACAAGCGCAGACTGACCAGCCACGCACTGAACCCAACAGGGAAAACATCTCCCTCAAACTGTGTCGCCCCAAGCACGCAAGGCGCAGGCTGTTGGGACAGCACATAAAGTCTGTCCTGAAAGCAGTGCAGCCAGAGCTGACAGCACCATGTAGTTGAGGTTTGCAAGAACGTCCGTGAAAGGGGACAAGCCAGCGTGGTGCTGGATGAGGCCCAAGCCCAGCCGAGAGGCAGACAGCTCCAAAGGCTCCCTGGGAGAGACATCAGCCGCCGGCACAGCAGAGCCAAGGCTCCAGCCACCAAGCTGAGCTGAAAGATCCTCCCCTGCTTATTAGTGGCGTGACAGAGCCAGAGAAGCCTCCGCCAGCCAGTCAAGAGAGCACCCCAAGAGCGGGGCACCCTGAAGAGACAGCAGGAGACAAGCACAGGGGTTCGCTTGTTGGTCTGCAAGTCTCCAAGCTGGCGCCACATCCCTTTGCTTCACCCCATGGTCGGCGGCAGGAATCCCTGCCTCTCCTGCCCCTTCCACACGAGAGGGGGACATGTCGGGACGGGGACAGCCCAGCCCCACAGGCAGCGTGACGGGAGTCAGGAACTGACGGGGACAGGCGAGCCTGGCCTGGATTGCATTACTGCTGGCGCAGTCACATCCACTAATCTCCTCCATCTGAGCCGATTCGCCTCCTCACCACGCGGAGCTGGTTCTTACCGGTTCTCAGTGCTTGCCTCAGTTCGGAGCCAGATGTCCTGTACAACATCTCGCTGTCTAACCCTGCGGAAGTGGGGACACTGCTGTTAGCTGCGAGCCATGCAGCTCCCAGCGCACGCACCATTTCGGTGCCAGCCTGGCAGCCGCACGCCGGCCAGGCAATGGCTGCAGCACGGCTAACCAGGCCTGGATGGTGCCTAAGCCAACCTCCTGCAGATGCTGCTGCAGCCCCCTTGGCCCCCAGGACAGCCGGTTCAGTGGCACCATTTCTCCCCCACAGCACAGATCCAGGCTGGAAGTGCTTCCCAAACCTCAACACCCATCCCAGGGCACGTAGGTGTCCTGAGCACAGACCCAGCACCCTCACCCCAGGCCTCTGCACAGGATGGCACAGCGGGGTCAAGCCCGGCTCTGGGGAACAGCAGCTCAACCCAGGGAGGAGGAGGAGCCCCCCCACTTCTGCAGGCAGCTGCGTCCTGCGTGTCCCGTGGAGCTCAGTCCAATGCCAACAGCTTTTAAAGACAGCTGCCTCCCCCCTTGCCCTCGCTGGGGGTCTTTGGGGGGTATCAGCCCCTCGGTGCTCAGCATCCCCCCCTTACCTTTCTTCTCAATAGCTTCCACCAGCTTCACCAGCAGCGGCGGTGCAATCTCCGGAGGGCTGAACTGCTCCTGCAAGTCTGGGAGAGGAGACCCTGGAGGAGAGGGAGGGAGAGAAGGGGTCAGCCCCAGCTCAGCACCCAGACTCCTCTGCAGCAGGGCCAAGCCGGGGCACAACCAACGCTTCTCCCAACGGCAGCGTCCAAGAGCGAGGAAAGCTGCCACAAGGCCACAGCCCACATGAGCACTGCATGGAGGCCACGGGGAACCTGCGAGCTGGCCCAGAAACCAGTACAGCACTTGTTGAGCCCAGCCTTGCCCCAAGCCCCTGATGAGGTGTGCACAGAGGGAACCCTCATGCTCCCTGCAGGGCTTGGTAGGCAGAGTGTATCTCCCTGGGGACCCCGGCACCCCCAGGCAGGCACCGCAGGGGTTAACAGGGCTCCTGGAGCTCAGGCTGGGTTCGGTCCCTGCCCAGCACAGGGGCTGCGCAGGGCTGGTGGAGGAGCGCAGCCAAGGAGCTTGCTCGTGGTGGTGAGCTGTGATTAATCTAACGATTCAGACAGAACGCCATGTCAGCAAATTCCTGCCCTTGATTGCTCGTTTAACATGGAAACCAGCCCTTTGCCTCCCGCTCCCCGCAAGCCCACAGCCTCCGTGCAAGCTGTTACAGGGCACAGACAGCCCATGGCACAGGACTAGGGTCCCCCTGCTCCTGGGGGATCTACAGCCCCGCATTGGGTGGCATTTTACTGTCACCCCCAAAAGATCTTGAGGTCCCAGCTCTGGACACCCCCCTTCCCTCTGCTGGAGGGGTGATGCATGCCGGGGCAGGAGCACGCAGGCCCGGTTGGGCAGCTGCCAGCGGGAGGCTTGCCGAAGGATGAGTGGTGCCAGGCCCCGTCTTGCTTCCAACTGAGCACCAGCCGGTGCAGGAGGCTCCTCCGGGCTGGTCCACAGCACTGGGCAGACCCTGGGGAGCCCACAGTCAGTGAGGACACCCAGCACGCTCCACTCTGAGGACGGAGAGCCAAAAGGCTGCTCCCCATTGCGAAACACAGCTCTGTTGTCATGGGTCTGACCCGAACTCGCCCCGTGTGGTCTTGCCACAAGCCTCAGCAAGCTGAAATTCTGCACCCAGCTGAGCCTCCTGCACCCACAGCCTCGCGGCGAGACGAAGCAACTCGCTTTGGTGCTTCAATTCAGCAGCCACAGAGCAGGGGGGGCAAGCACCCAATAGTTCTGCAAGGGTCTGCGCTGCTGGGGGGCAATCCCCCACCAGAGAGAGCCCCTGGGCAGGGGAAAAGGCCCAGCGTGGTGCTGGTCAGGGTGGGGAAGCCACAGGCAAGCTGCCAGGTTGGCAGCTCCACGCCTGACCCTTGGGAAGGGCTGAAGGGAGAGTAAATACTGGTGCTGCCCACGTGGCCCAGCCGGGAATGTGCTGCTTCAGCAGGCAGCAGCTTGCCTTTTTTTATCAGGCAGCCTGCACTGGAGCCAGCAGTGGCTCCCGAGCCTGCTGGGCCTCCGGGTTGGGCTGCTGCGAACAAGGCTGCTCACAGCACAGCCGGGGCAGCTGCGGAAATATTTCCGAGCCGCATTTTCCGCTCGCGTTCTCTGCAGAAGGCAAACACCAGCAGCTCGTAAATTCACTGGCAGAAAGAGCTGGGTCTTGCTGCTCTGCGGGGCCAGCCCCGCTCCCAGGCTGCGGGACAGCCATGGCACTGGCCCCACTCTGCATGTGACACTGGGGGGCTAAGGGATCCCTGCCAGCCAGGGCAGGACCCAGGAAACAGGGCAGAAATGCCATCAGCTTCGTGGGGCAGCCAGGAGACATCTCTGCACCTCCCGAAGTGCAGACCACAAAGTAGTAACACGGGCTTGGCTTAAATACAGTTCCTCAGCTGCAAAGATGTGTCTCCCCACCATCATCCCAGCAGGTTGCATGAAAAACAGCCCTGGGCGTTTGAATTGCACCCTGCAAGGCCCTGCCTCTGCCCAGGGTGGAGGCTGGCTGTGGGGATGCACCCACAGAGGACAAGGACAGGGCTGGCACCCCCCTCGCGTGCCCGGGTACCCAGCCCTCACTCTGTTCCATCCCCGCACATGCTGCAGCCAGTTTGGTTTCTTTCCCAACCATATCTTTACTGTGTGTCAGGAGCTCTGGCACATATCTTCTTCCACATCCCTGCACAGGGTAGTGGCTTTGACCACCCAGACACACCTCCACCAAGCCCTGCTTGAGAAGAAGAGGAGGAGAGAGCCCACAGAGGCATAAATACAGCCCCCGAGGGAGCACAGGGCTGGATGCAAGCGAGGCCGACGCATCCACCGCAGAGCATGCCCCAGGCTCCCAAGAGGAGCTGCTTTCTTGGAAAGGCAGGTTGCAAGTGGGATGACTCAGGTCAGCGGCTCTCGTTGCCAACCCAAACGCATGGCCCGGCTGCATTCCCACCCTGCGGAGATGTTTCCTGGGGCCGCCCCTCCGGCTCTGGGAACAGGAGTATGGGAGGCAGCTGTGGGGAGCCAGGCAGCCAGCCCCACCACCCTGGTTTCTGAGACAGGGGCTCCCTCCCATTCCTTAAGACCCCAGAGATGTTTCACAGAGCTGGAAGCATCTGATGGGATAGCCGTGGCTCCCAGGCACAGAGGGACAGGGAGGATGCACGACGGCCAGCCGGGAGTGTGCTCTGATGCCCACCAGGTCCTGCTGCTGACCCTACTCCTCTGGTGTGTGCCAGCGTGAGGTCTTCTGCAAGGCACAGGAAAGCAAAGTGTGGCTATCACCCATTTGCCATTTCAGAGCACCCAGGGCCTGCTGAGCCCCTGCCACAGGGCTTATGTGCCTGGGAGCAAAAAAAAAAAAAAAAAAAAAAAAGGCAAAGAGAAGGCAGCTGCCGCAGGTCTCTGGGCAGCGCTGAGGCACGGCGGCTCTCCCAGCACCCAGACCGGGTCCGTGCCAAGCACAGTGCCGGCTGGGAGGCAGCCGCAGGTGCAGGGCTGCCCATGTCCTGCCCCAGCGAGAGCTCTGCGATCTGTGGGAAGGGACGGGTGCCAGGCAGACAAGCAATTAGCTCCAGTTCTCGGAAGTGCTCTTTTAGACCCTGACTTTTCTCCTCTTGCCCAGAGACAAGTAATTGTGTGTCTCAGTGGGGCTGAACGGCTCTTGGCAGGGAGCAACGCCCCGGGTGCTCCAGAGGCAGAGGCAGGGAGGTGGCTGGGAGAGGTCAGGAATTATTCTGAAAGGAAGGGAGCGGGGCAAAACCCTCAGCAGAGCAGGGAAAGGGACCAAGGACCACAGGCATCCTGGCTGGTCATGGGCCAGAGAGGGAGAAGGATCTTGCAGAGGTCAGAGTGGGACAAGGCTCACCCCAAGAAGCTCTGCTAAGCAGATCGATAAGCTGGAGGAACAACGAGCCTTTCTCTTGGCCGAGACTGCGCATGAGCCCACAACTCCCAGGCTACTCAACTGCCCTGCTGCCAGCAGGGCAATCCAGCATTGCTGAGCCAAGGGCTTCACCGCTGTCCTGCAAAGCCACTCACACCCCCTCATCCACTGCATGCCGGGATTGGAAGTGTCTCGGAGCAACACCACAGGCAGCAGGGCTTGCCTGGCTTGTACTCGGGGCCGGTGAGAAGGGACGGAGATCTTCACAGGCCCCACGTACTCCACGTACGTGCCGGGAAAGTCGCCCTTCTGCTTGGTCCGCTCGTTGACACCCAGGATCCACCCGATCTGATTGGGGGTCTGCTCATCCCCATCTTTGAAGCCCAGGGCTTGCAGGGCCCCCTTGCTCACCACCAGAATGTCCCCAGGCAGCAGATCAATGTCCTCCTCGCGCTCCTTGCGGTAGGGGTAAAGCGCACGGTACTGGAACCCATCAGTGCTGCCCATTCTCTCTGCTGCTGGGAGAATGGCTCTGAATGGTGAGGCAGCGTGTTTCGGGTGGGAGAGGAGGGATCTCAAAGGCAGCTCTCCCCCATCAGCGCTCTGAATGTCTCTGTGTGAACCAGCACCCCAGGAGCCTGGTCTGGGTGCCCTGGCACGCTTAGGTGCAGCCCCTTTTCCTTAGCTTGAAACCACGATTCAACCAAATTATGGAGCAAAGGGAGAAGGAGACAAACATAATCCAGCACTGGTGAGTGGGCATGCAGCAAAGAAACAGGAGATTAGGGTTCACTTCACCAAAAAAGAAGCAGGTTTTTTGGAGTCCGGGGGGCAAAAGCACATCACGCTTCCAGCCCAGAACAGCGTGGCATGCTACGTCTCCCTTTCCAGTGCCTGCAAAGAGAAGAAGACTTGTCACTGCACAGCCAGGCACCCCACACCTTGCTGAGGTGCCAACATTCAAACTAGGGGTTCATCTGAGCAGCTGAGAGAGGCAGGACTTGTTTCTCTCCTACCTACCAGCTGATGCTGAGCCCTGGATCCAACCGGGACATGCTAATACCAATCTACACTCCCAAAAGCGAGAGAGAAGCCAGCGGCTGCGGGCAGGAATGTCACCTCCTCTCTGCTACAGTCAGGCACCAGCTCTGCATCTTAAAGAGGTTCACTCCTGCTTCTTCAGTTTACCCTTCTCGCAGCACTTATGCAAACAAGAAGACAATGAGTGGGACAAAACAGCCTTTATTGCAGGAACTTTTGCATACAGAAAAGGGTGGCCCTGCAACAACCAGCTGGAGGCCCTGAATAGCAGCAAAACAAACAGATTTAACCTTTCCTTGTTAAATCGATTATATTTCACAGTTCACCTTTACATCTCCCCATGCGATCCCCCACAAGTCATTTTCTGAAGGCAGCTGCCCACAAAATGTAGGTTAACCAAGCTTTCAATGAAAGGCTTTTGAGATGCTTTTGCCGTTCCCACCGAGCAGCACTTCAAAGCTTTGCTCTGAGCAAAGTAAATTTTTGAACTTTTCAAAAGCAGCAGCAGCATCAAGTGCGGGCACAGGTTCTTTTCGCAGAGATGGAGGTGAGATGAGTTAAAATAATCTTCAGAAGCCTTGAAGTCTACTTAAAGCTGCTAACTGCCTTTCAGCTATTCAGAGAGAAATTGAAGAATATGCTGCCCGCCCTGCCCAGAAATCCACCAAGAAGAACAAACCTGGGTTATAACATGTTGCTGAAGGGATGCATGAGCTGGGGCATTCCCACCAGACGAGCACGTCCTCTTTTCCCATCCCCTCCTGGTGCACGGGCCAGTTTTCCACCTCCCCCAGGCAAATCTCAGCATTCCAGTTCCCGCAGCCACGGCATGCAACCAAGGACCAGACCTACAAGGCACTGGAGCAGCCAGAAACCAGCCTTCCCAGGGACACCCTCTGCCTGCTGAAACGCTGCAGGTATTGTTAACAGCTTGAGCTCTTTTGGCCCAGAAACCACCAAACCCAGCTCAAACTCTTGTGTCTCATCTGAAAACTATTAGTGAGCAGGAAGGCACTTCTCAGGGCTGTGGGAGCCTCTGCAGAGGGAGGTGAGGAGGCAAAGGCAGCCAGGGCACCCGTCCCGGCAGGGTCAATGCACAACCAAGCACAGCACTAAGCCAAGGCTACTCCGACCGACCGCTGGTTGGACTCTGCCAGAGGCACTAACCTTGGTGATCTGCAGTATTTCAAAATAACCCTTTTGGGCCAGCAACACATTACAGTTCACATCAGCTACAAGCCCTCCCTTCCTCCTACATATGCTACCACCCCTGCACGCTATCAGAAAGTCCGAGATCAGTGCGAGTTCCCTGTGAGAAGCCAGCTCCACCTCTCCACAGCCAGGCTTTCCAGCCCAGCACCACGCTGTGGGATCCTTCCCTTGACACAGAAAGGCACAAAGAGGCCGTGGCACATGAAACCTGTGCAGCAGCCAGGGCCTGCGCTAGCTGCCTGAGCTCGGGCAAGCGTCCCAGCTGGGCTGTCTTTGCCATGAATGAGCAGGCGCTGCCCTCGGGGAGGTAGGACACTTGCAGCCATGCTCCGGTGGGTGGGGAACAGGATTGAGCCTGATCCGGGCTGCTGGAGAGCTTCTCCAGAGCTCCAGGAGCAACACCACGCTGCAGGACTCCTGGAGAGACCCCTGGGACAGGGCTTGTTTGTGGGAGAAGCAGCACATCCCAGCACAGCTGCCGTGCAAGCTCCCACTGTGCCGGGACAGCAGCCGCAGGGAACTCGCAGCAGAGCCCATATTTCCCCAATCCAACCAGCCCCAGCCAGGAAAATATTACTTCATAATCCAGAATATAAAGAGAGATTTATGACCAGGCTCACTGCCTGCCCCTCGCCCCTCTGAACACTGCCTGTCAGGGTCCAACGGAGCCGAATCGGCAGTCCCGGGGGCACTGTCTGACTGCCAGGGGCCCGAGCAGCTGCTGCCTGCTGGGAAAGGGGCAGCAGAGCCCAAACCCAGCAGGGTCGATGTTCCCCCGCAGGCACCTCCCCAGCTTCCACCCGCAGATCCCAGCCCCAAACTCCAGGTGCCTCAGACAAGCTGGTGCAGCCGAAGATGCTGGAAGGACAAAATGCTCAGCCCTGGCAAACTTGTTCAGTAGCTTTTAAAAAGCAGACCTGCGTGGAGGGGTGGGAAGAGGAAAGAGTCGCTCCGGAGCACTGAGTCTCTCCAAAGAACAGGTCCCGCAGCTCCTGCTCCGTCGACTCCTTCCAGCCGTCTTCCTTGTGGTGGGAACGCAGAGCTCTGTGCCACTCTGCTCTCCACATCCCAGAGGGTCACTGGGGCACACAAAAAAATACTCAGAGCCAGCCTGGTCCCGGAGCAGCCTCACCTGCCTTCCCCACACTCAGCCTGAATGGGGATCAAATGCCTGCCAATGGGGGTGAGGAGCCCCCTGGGAAACCCAAATCCACATGGCTAATGCCAGCACTGTCCTCTCCAGGGGAAACACTGGTCCTCTGTCCTGCCACGGACTCAGCGAGCGACTTCCCAGGCTGAGCTGCATGCGTGGGAAGGCAGCCGCCGGTCAGGAAAGCTCTGCACCCCACGGAGAGCAGCTGACCGACTCGGCGTGTCTTTGGGGAGAGGGCACGCACGCTTCCCAAAGCCCTGAAACGGCTCTTTGGAGGGAAGGCAGCGCTGAGAGCCTGGGACACGCACGAGCCTGTCGGCTGGAAGCACACCTCTGAGCTGGGGCTCTGCGTGTGCAGGAGAAAGGGAGCAGCTTGCCAAAAGATTTCAGCTGGGCCTGGCTCCAGGTTCACTCGGCTCTCGGAGAGGAACCTCGTGTGTCTGTGCTGGCGAGCACTTGCTTAGGCTGCTCTGAAAATCCCATGCATCAGACATCTAAATACCTTTGGTAAATCTATCTCAGCGCCCAGAAACAATCCCTCGATTCATTAACTGCTGTCAATACTTTCTTTGTTTAATACATTGGTTTGAAACAAAAAACACATCACAAGTCTTTTTGTGTGTGCCCAGCACATAAATAAAAGCATCTTAACATTTCAGATGTGGTTCCTGTGCTTTTTAACCCAGTTCCAAGAGAGTTCAAAGTGCGGCTTGACTCGAAGCGAGACTGAGCGTTACTTTCCCTCCAGTGAGGCAAAAGAATGCACAAGAATATTTAAAAGAAGAATATGCTTACAACAATCTACACAGCTCAAATCTGTCCAAATTACATCAGATCCTTAGCGAGCAAAACACCACCAAATCCAGTTTTGAACTGTAAAATGCTACATGCTAATGGGTTACAAACAATGAAAACAAACCTTTCCTTTAATAAAAGAGAAAAATAGGACAATGCAACTAGGGATGGAGGCAAAAATGGACGTGGAACCACCTGCCACATTGTGCCCTATCGTGACAACTGCTGCTGCGTGGAGTCTTTCCGACCTACGCGGCCAGGGCAGCTCTGCTGGGCCCGCACCCCGCTGGAGCGGCAGAAGCCGACAGTGCCAAGCATGTCATGGGTCATGCTGCATCCACAGGCACCCAAACCACCGAGCAGCACTGGGGCGGAGAGTTTGGCAACCCCTGGTTTATAATTCGGGATAGACAGCACAGCAATCCCCCTGCGCCCCTGGGCAGCTTCCCGGGCCAGCTCCCTTCCCCAGCCCTGCCAAAGAGCCTGAACGACGACTCGCAAGGCTTGAGCCACAAGCAAGGTGGCGGCGGCAATGCCACGACGAGCCGTGGGGGAACAAGCAGGGCAAGCCCGCAGGGAGCTGGCGCGGGCGGGAAGCGGAGCTGGACACGCTCCAGCAGCTGTCCCCAGGGAAGCGGCCAGAGGAGGGGGGAAGAGCCAGAGCCGCACCGGGCTCCGGCTCATGATCCCAGGCTGGCGACCGCCCCAGTGTTGCCAAGCCAGCTGGTTTCTCCCTCGGAACAGGGAAAAGCGCTGGGGGAGCAGAGCTATGCCGTGAGCCATGCCCAAGCCAGGCCTGCTGTCCTGAGAGTGACCACACTGCAGAAGAGACCATTTCCAGCTCTTTTCTCACCAAGATATGCTTCCCATGCAGCCGGCAGCAGAGCCCGAGGAGTAGCAGCATCCTGCCTTTAGCCAGCAGCTGCCCTTTTCTGGGGATACAGAGAATTTGCTGCTCAGACTGACATTTCGTTAAATATTTTGCTTTATTCACTGAAGCCCAGGTGAAGGAATATCTGAAACATATCACTGAAAAAGTAAATGTTATAATTAGCAAGGACCTGAGGAGCCCAATAAATCCCTGGCATGTGATGACCAATACCTCCCTCATTTTTGAGGGGCAACTGGAGGTCTCCGAGACCTCCTCCTCAAATACTGGACAATACAAGAATGCCTCAGGCAATCTGCAGACCTACGCCAAGACTTCTTTTACTGTCCGGAGGTTTCTCCTGACATTGGACTTTCTTGCTTCAGCTGAAGCCCATCCTGTTTCACCCACCTCAGGGACTTTCTCCTCCTCATCGCAAGAGCCGAAGACTTCTACACACTGGCACCGAGCAGAGAAGGACCAAGCGCCCTACACCAGCCCCATCCCTTTGCTCCAGGCTCCCTTTACACCAGCCCCCAAGCAGCAAGAACACACTACTTCCATTTTAGAAGCATTCACGGGGCAGGGTTTAAGGTTGGTTTTTTTTTCAGAAATAAATCCAGGAGCTGTATTTTGGCTACTGCCCTCAAAAATTACAGTTCTAAAAAAACTGAGTACATTAAAAAAAAAATAAATCCAACTGCTCTTGCTAACTCATCTGCTTAAAATCACATTCCCCGAGGTATTTGGAATTTGCGTGATGATTTATTAGCAGCTCTGCACAGCGCAGCAATCACATGAAGTAGCCTACAAGGTGAGCAGTAACCACGTTAGTAGACCAGTGTTATTCGGGTATTGGTTTAGAGAGGCAAGACCTTCCAACTTGAGAAATCCACTGTCCCTCTGCTTTTTATCTTCCATTACTCGGTTACTTTAGGCTCCAAGCTGCGGCTCCAGATATTCCCAGAGGAATTAAAAGAGCCCTCGATATTATAAATACTCTTTTTCATTGTAAACACACCCCAGCACTTGGAGTGAAGCGCCAGTGCTCTGACACGGCTCCAAACTGGCTCCGCAAAACCACTCTGTTCCTCGCCGCACTCCAGCTGAGCTGCGGTTTCTCTTCCAACCCAGAGCTTTTGTCCAGCGAGACCCAACTGCGGGCAGAAAGGATTTTCCTGTGTGCTTAAAACCTTGTTCTAGCGAGTTAAAAACCGAGGGTTTGGGGCAGCAATCACCTTTAGGAGGACCAAAGCATCGCCATGAACTGCACGGGCAGATCAAAGCACGATCTGCCCACGTCAGAGAAGAGAGTCACCAAAGAAACCAAACCATCGCTTGGATTTTCCCACATCATGGAAGAGTCGATGACTAGAGCAGAGGCCAACCCAGCCTCGGGGACACACCAGCCCTTCGCATGTTAGGGAAGGGCGGGGGAATGGCCAGGAAAGCAGTGATTTAGGCTATATTTACTCAGCTGTCTCCATTCTCTGCTCTCACAGAGAAAGTCACAGGGCCAGTTCCCCAGTGGCTCTAAGAGCTGCTTGGGAAATAAAAGCCACGCATTAATGGGGAGGAGAGGCAGCCATTCCTCTGCCGCACCGGGCAGGGGTGCCGAAAGGCGTAGTGCTGGTGCCACTCCAGCTCTCGCAGAGCTCATTTTAGACAGATTTCCCCCCCCCAGCTTTTATTGCCCATTGAACACAGACCCTCAGTTTGGGAGGTATGTGACCAGCGGGAAGCTTCCTCTTCAAGGGGCTGAGAAACGTCCACAGTGTTAGAAAGGACACAGGGCACAAACCTCACTGGAAAGAGGCGGGCTGGCCACCGCCGTCCTGGAGCCAGGGTTCGGGGGCAACTGTGTCCAGAGCC